GAGAGAGAGAGAGAGGGGCAGTACCGGGCTTTATTTTTTTTGGGTGGATTTTTTAAGGGATGGCACTACGTGGGAGCCTAGACCTCCTAGGCGCCCGCCTTAGGCATGCACGCTCAGACCCCACCGCCTAGGCGGTTTGTCGGCTAGGCGGCCAGGTGGCCAACTTTTTCTTCACTGACAATTAATTTCACTTTTAATGCAAGTCTTTCTAGTTTGTTTAGACAACTAGTATGTTTGATTTGATACAGATGTTGAAGTTAGTGGAGGTAACTTTTACTGTTCTACAAAAGCTTATACGAAGTGAGGGAGTTCGCTTTTGCATTTAGTTTGATACAACCCGTCTCCATTGTTTTTTTGTCTCCCAAGGGGTCCGACTAACAATGTTTGAGGTAAATCTGCCTTCCACTGTAAGAGTTCCTGAAAAGAAAAGGGAAAAGACCGTTATTTCCATCAGCGTGGCTCTTGCTTTTTCCTCTAGATATCACAAATACTTGTTGGACCCATGAAATTTGAAGATTCTTGCCGAAGTTGTTCCCGATCAAGCCGACCATGGATAATTCTTTAGGAATCATTGGCCGAAGCATGGCCCAGAATGCCCTTGAAGGGGACAGCACATGCTCTTTCACTCTCAGATAAACTATATTTTGTAAAAATGAATTTTTGAGGCTAAGGGCTCTCGTGATGATGTCCTTGACTTTTTCACTAAGTCCTTAGTCTATCTCAGTAGGTTGTCCTGGACATCTTGTTGTTTCTTTTTCCCATCTATTCCAGAGAATTTTCTTTCGAAGTATCTTCCAAAGAAGGTGGCTTTCCTTTGGTAACTCCATTTAATAACGTTGATATGTTCATGACCTAGGAAACCTATTCCGATGAATACTCATTCCCATTACTTTTAGTTTGAGGCTAGGCAGATGGATTATTTATTATTTGTACAATAATTGAGAAATCTATCATTACTTATAAGTTATAACTACTTCTGGGATTAAGATAATTTGAGTTGCATGCTGGATAGATATTGTGGTTATGGGTGTTTCAGTGTTAGTGCTTCTTGCTTCGTCTGTATGTCTTTCTTGTATTTAACCTTGGTATTGGTGTTATCTTGAGCAATTTAAAATTCTTGTGCAGGATGTCTTCCCGATCATTCCCGGTGACACAGATTATAGAATATTTTCCGAAGATTATGGTGACATCCCAGGGCTTGATATTATATTTGTTTTTGGTGGTTATTTCTATCATACATCCTATGACACAATAGAAAGACTATTGTATGCGATACAAGTGATTTTTCTGTAATTTATTTAATTTCTATCTATTTTAGATGTTTATTTGCAATAATGGCTTATATTTATGGAATGTGTACCCTGTAATATGCAGACCTGGGAGTCTCCAAGCGCGAGGAGAAAACTTGTTGAACTTGATCAAGGGTTTTGCAAACTCTTCAGAACTGCAAAATGCCCAGCAAAGGGCATCTGCTGGAGATGTACGGAATGGAAGCAAGAACGATCGAGCTGTCTTTTTCGATTACTTGACATGGTTCATGGTATGCTTCATTTTTCAAGTTACTTACTTATCATGGGTTAAATATATTAGAAAAATGATTACAATGTTGTCATGGTTTCTTCAAGAAGGAAATTACTTACACTATTGTAATACATAGTTGTATTTCATAGAATGGATATGTTGAACAGTATTCTCAGTTAGACATTGTTTTCATGCCGTATGCTGGTCATTTGCACCTTAGGCTAAGTTGTAGTTTTTTCTGTTTTAATGTATTTATCAACTTGTAGAAAAATTTAATGTCCCCTTCGTTCATACATGTCTCATCTAAGGAGCTGAACGTTTATGACACTAGGCATGATATAGATGCTCTCATATATCACACTCGATGGGATATAAGTTCTTTTATATAGATTTTTTTTTATTTGCAGCATTCATTCTCTGATTTGGTTTGCCAGATCTCTAAAATTATTTTGGAAGTATGTTATCAAGGTGACTGTTCTTATGTTCATCCATTTGTTGCAGATATTCTATACGAGAAAGGAAGCTCTGGTTTTGCACAGTCTTCCGATGGTTGTACTCCTTCTGGTGCCATTTTTCTTGAATTTCTCAAATGTTGGTGTATCCTCCTGGTTTGGGATGTTTTTGGAAATGATTAAGGGTATGACACATACTGATGCTGACTCTTATTCTTCTTACAATGAAAGCTTCGTTCTGCTATATATAAAGCTTTCATATGTGTTGTATACGTTGATTGACTTCTTTATCAGTTGATTTTTTTGCTGTTTCTGCGGTTGTTATAAATTGGGTGCCTATTCATGGGCATATGCGTGCACACACAATACAACTATAGAGATAATTATACTAGCATGCAACATGTATGATACACTGTAGAAGAGAGAGAGGAGTCAATAAATGTAAAGACTAATAAAGTACTCTATATTTACCCAACTTAATTGACTCTTAAAGAAAATGAAATAATTGAAAAATAAAAATTAATACAGTTGATTATGTTCAGTAGATCAATGGAGAGAATTATTAAAGCACATATATAATGAATTGGCTGGCATGGATCAAATTAACAAAGCGATGATGTCTTCACAAGGCCATGTAAATAAATAAGTAGATATCTGGCACATATGTAATGAATTGGTGAGCATAGACAATAAGTAGTCATTGTTAAGTGATGCCCAGTAGAAAATAGTAATAATGTAGAGTGCATCACTATTTAAGCAAGGTATAAGAAAAAAATAAATGTATGGTGCATTAGTTATCTATAGCGGTTTCTATTTGAAACCAAATTGGTGCTTATTAAGAACAGGAAGCTTAATAAAGATGAGTGACAATGTGGACCTTCATAATCTGCTTGGCAGTCCTGTAAAATTTAAACAGGAAAAAACGCTATATTGATTTTGAAGACACGCAAGCATGAAAAGGAAAAATATCATCAATGTAAATATCTTGATTATTTTGATAACCTATATTTAAAGTAAACTAAAATTAGAATGTAATAGCTTCTTACTATCTAAGCGTGTATGTATTAAAAAAAAGAAGGAAGAATATGTAGAGTGCATTAGGCAAGTTCCAAGAAGTATAGTTTCCAATAATGAAGATAGAGAAATATGAGGATTATTCATTTATAAATTGTTAGTTGTTATTCTTGTACATGTTAAAAGTGCAAATGCAAGAAACTAACCTAGAACAATTTTGATAAGATGAAAGCCTAAGATGGAACCAAAAAAAAAAAATCTGAAACTTAAAAATAATCTTTTCTATTATATTAAATGAGGGTTTGGAGGGGCATATGCGTGTGTCAATGTTTAAGATTTTAAAATGAATGTCCCTGTAAATGGAACAAACTTACCATTGATGTGAGACCCAGAATATTACCCAATCAATACTACTCTTCTACTCCAAACTCCAAACTCCAAACTCCAAACTCCATTGCTCTCTCTTTCTCTCTCTCTCTCTCCTCTCTCTCTCTCACTCTCGTGTCGCTGGCGACGTCTTCCCTCATGGATTCCAAGATCTCTCTATTTCTCAACAAGAGTCATCCTCCATTCTTCCTCATTCTCGTGCCTTGTTTGTCCTTCTCCGAATATGTCTCTGCCATTCCTTTCAATATTTGAAAAGGAGCTTGGCAACTGCACATGAAATCACAATATTCCTATACCTTGCTATTTCTCACGTCAACAACTCCTTGATACTATTTTCAAGGCAGGATTAAGACAGTAAAGTTCTAATTTGTCTTTCTATAAGTCAAAGATTAGCAAGCAAAGTTCCATTTTTTTTAATCTTATCGAAATTTTGATGATTAATATTTTACATTTTCAAGTTTAACATGTACATAACATGATGATTAATATTTTAAGTTGGGCTTAGTTTTATTTTTTTGGGTTCCATCTTTGGATTTTCATCTTATTGGAATTTTACTGGATTAATCTCTTCATTTGCATTTTAGAATGTAAATTAAAAAAAAAAATAAAAAATACTCAAGTTGTATTTTAGAACTTTGCTTGCAAATCTGTAACCTAAAAAGAAAAAGGAATTTGAAACTTTGCTTAATTGAAACTTATCTTCAAAATAATATTGGCGAGTTGTTACAATGGTAAATAGAATGGTAAAGGTAGATTGTGATCCCTTGTGCAGTTGAAAAGCCACATTTGCAAATTGAAGAGGAGTGATCGAGATTGAGGAGGAGAAGACGGAGAAACAAAGGGTACGAGAATCAAGAAGAATGGAGGATGGCCATTTATGAGAAAGACGGACCTTGGAATCTGTGCTTGAAGACAAAGGGTTGTGTGTGGTTAGAGATAGGGACATCAGGAGAGAAAGAGTAGTGGGTTTCGAGTGATAGTAGTTTTGATTGGGTGATCTTTTAGGTCTTACACCAATGGTAATTGTTTTTTTCAACTATAGAGGGAAACTCATCCTAAAATTTGTACCTAGACACGCTTGCATACCCCTCCAAACCCTCATTTAGTATAATAGCATAGGTTCATATGTTCTTACAGGAATATGTATATTGTTGTGAAAGTGAATAATGGCTCCTAAGTTATCTTTAATTGTATTTTAAGCCATCTTTAATTGTATTCTAAGCCCCAAAGGATGATATGTTAGATCTCACCTAACCTTCTCTCTTGCTTTCTTTCTTCACGTATCACTCATCCCTCTTTTTTTTTTAATCTGGCCTTTGATCTCTCTCTCTCTCTCTCTCACTATTTTCTCCTTTCTCCTCTCCTTGGTTGCTACTGTATTTTTGAATTGGTAGTGGAGAAAGGTTACTTAGAGAGGTTTCTTTTGAAACCCTAAAGATGTGATCTGGTCATGTTAAGGTCTCCAAGAGTCCTCATATCTTTTCTCACTAGTTCTATCCATGTTGTTTTGGGCCCTCCCTTTGCCCTTTAGAGCCTTCTACTTGAACCAAATCGTACCTCGTAACTGGTGTTGTATTAGGTCTATGCTAAACATGGCCATGATAAATTAGTACATCGACCAAATAATTACCCCGAGAATGGGTATGTACCCCCTAGGTCCGGTTAAGCAGGCCTTCTTAAACCACTTGATTTATGTGATACTTGGACAAGCCTCGCGGTCACTAGCTCGGCAATCGGATAATGGGGAAAAGAGTGTAGAGGAATATCTGCCATGGGGTTGAGCATGAGAGCCAAGCACCCTTCTATCTTCTGGTTTATATGATACCAGAAGAGGAGTCGAACCCTAATCTCGGTAGCCTAAGGCCTAGGAGTGTGAGTTAAATGCCTTATGTGAGTTGCCTTGTATGGTTTGGGCTTGATCTTGCTTGGCATGGGATGAAGGCTGGCTGTTTTTTTTTTTTTAAAAGGGAATTAACTAGATTGATTAAGGTTTGGTTCAAAGGGTTTAAGGTTAACTAAAAAAGAGCCAACTAGGGTTAGGGTTTAGGTTAAGTGTAGAGACTTAACTGGGGTCCTAACTATGGTTAGGGGGTTTAGGGTTAGGTTCCTATGGTTAGATGAGCGCTAGGGTTTTCTCTCTCAAAAAATTTCTCTTCTAAAATTAAAGTGATGGAGTTTCTCTCTTTAGCTAAGAAAAAAATCTCTTCCACACATCAAGGGTGAGGCCTTGGCCTTTATATGGAGGGGCTTTTGAACATGGGTGGATTATTAACACTTGGATCGATTGATGGGTGGAAAATTTAAAATAAATTTTGGGTAAAAAGAAAATGACCAATATAAGACTCTTGAATGTCCCAAATATCATGGTAAGTCCTAAAAAATAGAGCCTCATTCCATACCGGTGGTATGAGGCCTTCGTTCTTCATTCTCCAGAGCTAGAACGGACAATTCAACACCGGGAAAATGTAGATCAAGCTGCCACAACCGTTTTGTGGTAAATTTTGTACAGAAACTCCAGGATCTATCAAGCTTTTGGGTTATTCTTGATTTTGTGGATTCATTCACTTTTTTTTTTCATAAGCTTATTTTGATCGATCTTGTGGAAGATCGTCATCTTTTGTTTACCAAATACGCTAGAAAATCAAAGGGATGTTACCACTGTCATTTTGCAAAAGAATCGCAAAAAAACACCTATGGTTTCCGAGTTACAGCCTCTTGAAATTTTCGAAGCAATGAATTTTTGTATCAACATGAAATCGAATAGAATTCGAGCCTTGGATGGGCGTCGATCCGTCCCTTGATCGTAACTTGCCATATACCTAGCGAAAGCTTATTGAGTCATGATCGTATGCTTCATAGATGCAAAGATGTCTTAGAAATACTGAAGAGAGGTCCTATGGACGATATTTTGCAGGAACATCATAATCCATATACTTCTTTCTAGCCTATTTCCAGTCATTCGAGCGAGTCTATCTCTCATGTCGTATATCAAAAGAAGGACCTCGATGAGGGGAAATGACTTATCTGAGTTTCAACTGATGACTCTCTGCCGTGTAGGAGAAATCACAGTGGGAAGTTTGCCCAAAAATGGATATTGTTATAGAATTTTGCTCATCCCTTTTGATGTGACACGTCCAACTTGCGAAAGTATGCAACAATGCCGAATGGAGCGAATGGTGTCGAAACGAAGTTTAAGGGGGTTAAGGTTTTTTGGCCTTTCGAATTCCTCTGCAACGGTCTTGAAGTCATCGAAGGCTGATTTCTAAGGGTTCATTTGTAATTTGGCCCTCTTTGTGACCATTCATGTATTAGGCAGTGAGGTCACCCCAAGCTTACAAGGGGCAATTAGGCGAAGTTTGTTTTGTCAGCACGGATTGCAATGTTTTTGATAATGCAACCTTGGACTTTCAAGGGAAAACAATATATATTCCACAAACCTTTTGGGCTGCCAACTCTGACCATGCTTATATCGAGGGAACAACTAGAGCCTTCAAGGGGTAGTCAACATGAGGTTTGGTGGCTTTCCCCATGGTCCACCAGCTTGGATCATGTCTCTAACGAAGATATAGCCAAAACCTTCAAGGGCGGACTTGAGGCTATTGAATGTGGCTCCTTGTTTACTAGCTCAAAGTGCATCCTCCATCAGTGACTCGACTGAGGTTTCTCTCACCACCAGCTTCAAGCGCATCGTATATTACTAATACGACCAGAATCTTCAAGAGGTAGGCAAGGGTTTACCCATGGTTCGGCTCAATGCCAATGGTTCGTATGAGTACCTTGATAT